CGTCCTCCTCCTCCTACCTCCACCTCCTCCTCCTCCTCCTCCTCCCCCTCCTCCTCCTCCTTCCACCTCCTCCTCCTCCTCCTCCTCCTCCTCCTCCTCCTCCTCCTCCTCCCTTCTCCCCATCCACAATTACTGAATATAAATACTACTCTCCCTCTTCCCCTGATGACGGTTTGAAAGTATTACCCCCCCCCGCGTACTGTTTTTTTACACACGGAGTTGGGTTTTCGCTTGCATTTTTTCCAACATGCTGCTCTCGCTGAGGCGCTGGCCTTATTTTCGGGCCCCGCTCGTTCCGAATCGTGCTCCCGCTGCAGCGCTGGCCTCATTTCCGTGCTTCCGCTCGTTCCGAATCGTGCTCCCACTGCAGCGCTGGCCTCATTTCCGCGCTTCCGCTCGTTCCGACTCGTGTTCCCGCTGCAGCGCTGGCGTCATTTCCCGTGCCATGCCACGGCATGCAATGCAATGCTAGGTTGATGCTACGCTTTGCGGTGCTCTTCTACGCCATGCCATGCCGTGCTTTAAAATGCATCGCGTACCCTTTCGGGATCATTGCCCTGCTCGACATTCGACTGTGCGAGTAGAGAGGGGATCTACGCCATGGTAAGGGATGGGAGGGAGGGGTAGGATGCCAGAAATGACGCGAGCGCACCTAGCTTGCCCTCTCCTCCCCCTCTCCCTTCTCCTCCTCCTCCTCCTCCTCCTCCTCCACCCCTCTCCATCCCCCTCCTCCTCCTCCTCTCCTACCGCCACCTCCTCCTCCTCCTCCTCCTCCTCCTCCTGCCCTCCCTCCCTCCCTCCTCCCTTCCTCCTCCTCCTCCTCCTCCTCCCCCTCCTCCTCCTCCTCCTCCTCCTCCACCTGTCCCTCCCCCACCACCTCTCCTCCTCCTCCTCCTCCTCCCTCCTCTCCTCCGCCGTCCGTCCTCCTCCTCTCTCCTCCTCCTCCTCCTCCTCCTCCTCCCTTCATATCTCCCCCATCCACAATTACTGAATATGAAAACTAACTACTCTCCTCTTCCCCTGATGACGGTTTGAAAGTATTAGCCCCCCCCCCGCGTACTGTTTGTTACACAGGATTCCCCGGAGTTGGGTTTTCGCTTGCATTTTTTCCAACATGCTGCTCTCGCTGAGGCGCTGGCCTCATTTTCGGGCCCCGCTCGTTCCGAATCGTGCTCCCGCTGCAGTGCTGGCCTCATTTCCGTGCTTCCGCTCGTTCCTAATCGTACTCCCACTGCAGCGCTGGCCTCATTTCCGCGCTTCCGCTCGTTCCGACTCGTGCTCCCGCTGCAGCGTTGGCGTCATTTCCCGCGCCATGCCACGGCATGCAATGCAATGCGAGGTTGATGCTACGCTTTGCAGTGCTCTTCTACGCCATGCCATGCCGTGCTCTAAAATGCATCGCGTACCCTTTCGGGATCATTGCCCTGCTCGACATTCGACTGTGCGAGTAGAGAGGGGATCTACGCCATGGTAAGGGATGGGAGGGAGGGGTAGATGTCAATATGACGCGAGCGCACTAGCTTGCCCTCCTCCTCCCACCTCTCCCACCTCCTCTCCCTCCTCCTCCTCCTCTCCTCCTCCTCCTCCTCCTCCTCCCCTCCTCCTCCTCCGCACTCCTCCTCCACCTCCTCCTCCTCCTCCTCCTCCTCCTCCTCCCTCCTCCCTCCTCCTTTCTCCTCCTCCTCGTCCTCCTCCTCGTCCTCCACCTCCTCTCCTCCTCCTCCTCCCCCTTCCCCTCCTCGCCCCTCCTCCTCCTCCTCCTCTCCTCCTCCTCCTCCTCCCCCTCCTCCTCCTCCTCCTCCTCCCCTCCTCCTCCTCCTCCTCCTCATCCTCCTCCTCCTCCTCCTCCTCCTCCTCCCTTCTCCCCATCCCACTCCACAATTACTGAATAAGAATACTACCCTCTTCCCCTGATGACGTTTGAAAAGGATTAGCCCCCCCCCCCCCCCTGCGTACTGTTTTTTACACACAGGATTCCCCGGAGTTGGGTTTTCGCCTGCATGTTTTTCAAAATGCTGCTCTCGCTGAGGCGCTGGCCTCATTTTCGGGCCCCGCTCGTTCCGAATCGTGCTCCCGCTGCAGGGCTGGCCTCATTTCCGTGCTTCCGCTCGTTCCGAATCGTGCTCCCGCTGCAGCGCTGGCCTCATTTCCGCGCTTCCGCTCGTTCCGACTCGTGCTCCCGCTGCAGCGCTGACGTCATTTCCCGTGCCATGCCACGGCATGCAATGCAATGCTAGGTTGATGCTACGCTTTGCGGTGCTCTTCTACGCCATGCCATGCCGTGCTCTACAATGCATCGCGGACCCTTTCGGGATCATTGCCCTGCTCGACATCGACTGTGCGAGTAGAGAGGGGATCTACGCCATGGTAAGGGATGGGAGGGAGGGGTAGGATGTCAGATATGACGCGAGCGCACCTAGCTTGCCCTCCCTCCCCCTCACACCTCCCTCCTCCTCCTCCTCCTCCTCCTCCACCTCTCTCCCTCCACCTCCCCTCCTCCTCTCCTCTCTCCTCCTCCTTCCTCCTCTCTCCTCCTCCTCCTCCTCCCCCTCCTCCTCCTCCTACCCTCCCCCTCCTCCTCATCCTCCTCTCCTCCTCCTCCTCCTGCCCTCCTCCTCCTCCTCCTCCTCCTCCTCTTCCCTCCTCCTCCTCCTCCTCCTACTCGTCCTCCTCTCCTCCTCCTCCTTCTCCTCCTCCCATCTCCCCATCCAAATTACTGAATATGAATACTACTCTCTCCCTCTTCCCCTGATGACGGCTTGAAAGTATTAGCCCCCCCCCCGCGTATTGTTTTTTACACAGGATTCCCCGGAGTTGGGTTTCCGCCTGCATGTTTTCCAAAATGCTGCTCTCGCTGAGGCGCTGGCCTCATTTTCGGGCCCCGCTCGTTCCGAATCGTGCTCCCGCTGCAGCGCTGGCCTCATTTCCGTGCTTCCGCTCGTTCCGAATCGTGCTCCCACTGCAGCGCTGGCCTCATTTCCGCGCTTCCGCTCGTTCCGACTCGTGCTCCCGCTGCAGCGCTGGCGTCATTTCCCGTGCCATGCCACGGCATGCAATGCAATGCTAGGTTGATGCTACGCTTTGCGGTGCTCTTCTACGCCATGCCATGCCGTGCTCTAAAATGCATCGCGGACCCTTTCGGGACCATTGCCCTGCTCGACATTCGACTGTGCGAGTAGAGAGGGGATCTACGCCATGGTAAGGGATGGGAGGGAGGGGTAGGATGTCAGATATGACGCCAGCGCACCTAGCTTGCCCTCTCCTCCCCCTCTCCCTTTTCCTCCTCCTCCTCCTCCTCCTCCACCTCCTCCTCCTCCTCCTCCTCTCCCTCCTCCTCCTCCTCCCTCCTCCTCCCTCCTCCCTCCTCCTCCTCCTCCTCCTCCTCCTCCTCCTCCTCCTCCTCCCTCCTCCTCCTCGAGGCGAAGAGCGTGCTCCGGCTGGGGGGCCTCGACGCCGCCCTCCGCCTCTACCCGCACGGCGACGAGGACGCCCCCGAGGAGGGCGCGCGCCCCGGCCCCCCACGGCCGGGCCGGCCTCGGGGTCAGGGCGGGCCCCCGGCGGAAGTCGGGCGTGCCCCCCCCCCTAAACAGGGGGGAGGTTCAACGAAACATAGAAGCACCCCAAGAATATACAAAAAACAATACACCCAAGAACTATTCCAAAATTGCCAAACAAGTATTCAAAACATAGTCCCCAGGCTATTTTTGGACTGTTCTTGAATATTCCTCCGGTAGAGGGACGGGCCCGACTTAACCCCAGGTCTGCTTGACCCAAGAGGGGCTCCACACAGGCTGACACGACGGACCCCGAGGACGATCCTCCCTCCGTGTCTCCTCCTGACTGTTTGCGCATTGATTCCCGATGCCACGGCCTCGCCCACCTGGTCTTGAGTAGGCCCCAGGTCTCCACCGAGTGCAGTCCACTACTCGCAAAGTGCCTACTCGCAGACGTTTGAAGCATATACGCCTACTTCGATGTGATTTCTCGTGCATTCCCCGCGGGGGGTTCAGGCGGTTTGCGAATAGTCACTTTGCGAGTAGTGGGACGCTCTCGTCGACGTCTGCTTGACCAAGAAGGGGGTCCAGCTGAAAGGGGGTGGTGCAGTACAACTATTTGGTGCGGTAGATCTGTGGGTTTGCAGCAGGTTTTTTGGGGCGTGCCATACATTCGGATGCGAAAGTGTATTGCTAGATTTTCGCGTGCAATGCATGATGAGATGCAAGACAGTGCAATCCATTTCTTCGGAGCAATAGATTTCGCAATACAATTGCCCAAAACCTATTGCACCACCCCATTTCAGCTGGACCCCCTTTTGGGTCAACCAAACCAGGGGCGCGGAAGCCCTGCTCGACAGCGGAGGCGTCGATCGGGCGTTGCGTATATTCCAAGGGGCAACGATAGGGGCCCAGACCACTCGGGGCGGAGGTTTATGCATCACCCAGGCCACTCGAGTCACGACAAAAATCACGACGGGAGGTGTTTTGCTATTTTCGGCCTCCAGGGGCCCTTGCCCAGCCTCGGGACCGTCAAAAAACGACTCGGGTCGATGAAACACCAGTCCCTCGGAATGGATCGAGACCTCTGGGGATTGACGTCATGAACAATTCATGACGTCGGAGGTCTGGGGGGGGGACTGGCACAGCCCTTGAGCCCCTGGCAATTTAATTTTGTTCGAGCCGGGCGTTTTCGCCTTATTTTGGGCCCCGGGACCCTCACAGATCAAGCCGGCCTCGAAAAATGGCGCAGAAAGAGGGGGTCCAGGGGTCCTGTCTTTATTTTTGTTCGATGTTGCAATTTTCTGTAACGGCAGATCTCAGGATACTCCGAGGCGGGGAGTTATGCATAACCACCGCCTGGAGGAGGATGGATTTTCGGAGACCTCAACAAGCGGCGCATATGGATATATTTGGGCCCCCAGGGGCCAAAATATATTCATATCAACTGCCTGCTGGGTTCCCAGGACGTCGATTCCCAGGCGATGAATATGGATAAATCCCCACCTCGCATGCACACGGGGGCGAGTCATAGCAGAGGTGCACTAAACCAGGGGAGCGGGGTCCCGCTTAATGAGCAGGAGAGGCGGGGTCCGACCAGACTCTGGTCCGAAGGGCGGGTTCGGGGGCCGAGGGGAGTTGGATCCGAAACGACCCAGGTTCGAAGGTCATCGTTTTCTCATTCGTTGTTTTGCTGATCGTCGCGCGCCCTCGCACCCCCCCTCCGCCCCCGTGGAGCAGATTTCGGCTGTTTGGGGCGCCTGTTTCGAGCAAGTCGGGTCTCCCCCAAAGGAAGCACGGTTGCAAACAGTCGCATTGAGCAGAGGTCTGGAGCCAGCCCCCCCCCTCCCTCCCCCCCACCCTTTCCGCCAAATGTCGAAACGGCGAAGGAGAAAACGCTCACAACGGGGCCGGGTCCGACGGCTTCGGTCCGAAGCGACCCAAGCCCGAAGCGACACGACCAGCCGGGCCCAAAGTGAACCCGCAAAATGTTATGCCCGAGCGGCCTATCCGCCCGAGCAGCCCGCCCGACCTGTTCGGGTGCCGATCCGATAGGTCGACAGTCCGATCCGACGCCAATCGCAAACCGAAAGTTGCACCCATCTCACCACCCAGAGCCTCCTGGTCACCCAAAGGGTGGCTTGTAGGTAGTATGTATCCGCCCGCTTGGAGAGCCATGTGATGACTGGAGTGCGTGAGGGGTGTGCCGACCTGGATCTACCCAGGACAGTCTAAGAGGCCTTCGAAAATCGTATGGGAGGCAAGTTGTTCGGACAGCGTGTTTACATCCACGTGTCCGTGGCCTGTTTCGAGGTCTGGTAGTGGAAGTATGATGCTGGACGCCAGGCTTAGCCGTCTCCAGAGATCCGTCGGGGTTTGTCTTGGCTCGCTAGCCTTCACACCCTCTCTGATGAACCTGATCAGGCAAGAACGGGACGCACCGCTATTGTCCACCGCGCTTGTGCGGGATGTTCTGACGTGCTGGTCTGCCGTGCTGGTCTGTCCTGGGTGCGTGGGCTTGCGCGCGCGTTTGCATGTGTGCCTGGAGTGCGTGAGTGCATGTGTGTATATGTGTGAGTGTGTGAGTGCGTGAGTGTGAAAGTGTGTGTGTGTGTGCGTGTGTGCGTGTGCGTGTGTGTGCGCGTGCTCGTGCGCGTGCGCGTGCGAATGCACGTTCGAGTGCGCGTGCGCGTGCGCGTGCGTGTGCAATTGCGCATGCGCGTGCGCGTGCCCGTGCGCGTGCGCGTGGGCGTGCGTGCGTGCGTGCGTGTGCGCGCGTGTGTACGCGCGCGTGTGTGTGCGTTCGCGCGCGCGCGCGTGTGTGTGTGTGTTGTGTGTGTGCGCGCGCGTGTGTTGTGTGTGTGCGCGTGTGTGCGTGCGTGCGTGTGTGCGTGCGTGTGTGCGTGTGTTCGTGTGTGCGTGCGTGCGTGCGTGCGTGCGTGCGCATGTCGTGCGCATGTTGTGCGCGTGTCGTGCGCGTGTCGTGCGCGTGTCGTCGCGTGTCGTGAGCGTGTCGTGCGCGTGTCGTGCGCGTGTCGTGCGCGTGTCATGCGCGTGTCGTGCGCGTGTCGTGCGCGTGTCGCGCGCATGTCGTGCGCATGTCGTGCGCGTGTCGTGCGCGAGTCACGTGCTTGTCGTGCGCGTGTCGTGCGCGTGTCGTGCGGGGATCGTGCGCGTGTCGTGCGCGTGTCGTGTGCGTGTCGTGCGCGTGTCGTGCGCGTGTCGTGCGCGTGTCGTTCGCGTGTCGTGCGCGTGTCGTGCGCGTGTCGTGCGTGTGACGTGGGCGTGTCGTGCGCGAGTCATGCGCTTGTTGTGCGCGTGTCGTGCGCGTGCCGTGCGGGGGCCGTGCGCGTGTCGTGCGCGTGTCGTGCGCGTGTCGTGCGCGTGTCGTGCGCATGTCTTGCGCGTGTCGTGCGTGTGTCGTGCGCGTATCGTGCGCGTGTCGTGCGCGTGTCGTGCGCGGGTGCGCGGAAGCGCGTGTGCGTGTGCGTGTTCGCATCTGCATGTGCGTGTGCGTGTGCGTGTGCGTATGCGTGTGCGTTCGTGTGTGTGTGTGTGGTGTGTGGTGTGTGTGTGTGTGTTCGTGTGCGTGTGCGTGTGCGTGTGCGCGTGTGCGTGTGCGTGTGCGTGTGTGTGTGTGTGGTGGGTGTGTGGTGTGTGGCGTGTGGAGTGTGGTGTGTGTATGTGTGTGTGTGTGTGGTGTGTGGTGTTTTGTGTGTGGTGTTTGGTGTGTGAGTATGCATATGCGTGTGCGTGTGCGTGTGCGTGTGCGTGTGCGTGTGCGTGTGCGTGTGCGTGTGTGTGTGTGTGTGTGTGTGAGAGAGAGAATGTGGTGTGTGGCGTGTGGTGTGTGGTGTGTGGTGTGTGGTGTGTGGTGTGTTGTGTGTGGTGTCTGCGTGTGCGTGTGCGTGTGCGTGTGCGTGGTGTGTGTGTGTGCGTGGTGTGTGCGTGCGTGCGTGTGTGTGTGTGTGTGTGTGTGTGTGTGTGTTCATTTTTGTCTCCCAAACTGTGGCCCTCGCCTGAGCCACGTGCGCAGTTGTTTCGGACGGATGAGGTTGAGGTCGTGTTCAAACTGTGGGGCTCGCTCGGTTTGCCGCGCTCATTCGTTTCAAACGCTCGCAGAGGATGCACAGACGGAAGGTGGTCTTGCCCCAAGATGGGGCCCAACGCCCAAGCATGCTCAGCAGTCACACGGACGGAGGGGCGGCTCTGCTTCAAACTCGGGATATTGGCCGGAACGTTCTCAGGCCCCATTGCTTGACCCCTGGCATGTGCAGCAGTCGAGGCGCACGGACGGAGGCCGGTTTATCATGACGATGGGGCTCTTGCTTGAGACCCCCTTGGACTGTATCACATGGTAGCCGAACAGATGCAACACTTTCACGGATCGGAGACGGCTCATGTTCGAAATGGGTTTCTCGGTTGGCACGCATTTGAACGTCGTGCTCGTCATGCGATCCTACATCTTGATGCTCATGAGTATTCACTTGCATGGAGGGCGGCTTCTTAAACAAAAACGGGGCTCCCGCTTGAATGGCAGGTCCATGGGCGATCGACTTTCCAGTGGGCGCTCCCTTCGGGTTGACCAAACAGGGGGTCCAGCGACAAGGGGGTGGTGCGATAGATGTGGTGCAATAGATTCTTGGGGTTGCAGTACATTTGGTGCGTGAAATACGTTTCGGGGCGCATTCGGGGCGCAAATGCATTGCTGTATTTTCGCGTGCAACGCATTACTTGCAATACAATGCAATACTGTTCTCCTGCGCAAAACATGTGCAATACACTCGCCCCAAATCTATTGCACCACCCCCTTTCAGCTTGATCCCCTTTTGGGTCACCCAAATCCCTGTAGCAAAAGTTGCGACATGTGTATGGACCTCGTGAAAGCGATTTTGGAAAGCAGGGTCCGTGGCAGTATCGTTGTTCTGTTGCTTATTCCGGCCCTCCCGTCTCCTCATCATCGTCCTCCCTCATCCGCGGTTCGGAGACGTCAGCAAAGCCTCAACACCTCTCTGTTTCCCTCTCCCGCCCGCCTCCTCCACCTCCTCCTCTTCCTCCTCCTCCTCCCTGCCCTCCTCCTCAGCCTGGCCCTGCTGCCCTCTCCTCTCCTCCCCTCGCCCTCTTGCACCACCTCCCCCCCTCCACGCCGCTCCCTCACTTGCCGTCTGCGCGCGCCGTTGGGTGCGGCGCGGCTCTTCGGGCGCGGCCAGGGCGCTCCCCGACGCGCCCCGCTTCCCCCCAGACATCCCGCGTCTCGAGCTTCTCGACACGGGCCACCGAGGAGGAGGAGGAGGAGGAGGAGGAGGAGGAGGAGGAGGAGGAGGAGGAGGAGGAGGAGGAGGAGGAGAGGAGGAGGAGGAGGAGGAGGAGGAGGGGGGGGGGGGGGAGAGGGAGGAGAGGGAGGAGAGGAGGAGAGGAGGAGAGAGGAGAGATGAGGGGAGGAGGGAGGAGGAGGAGGAGGAGGGAGGAAAGGACCGCGTCTCGAGCTTCCCCGGGGCCAGACTTGTCGCATCCCGAGGGTCTCGTCTCGGACGGCCCCCAGGCCCATGGGAGGGCCCCGCGAGAGAGGGGGGGCTGCTCCGTGAGGCGTGCGGGTGCGCGGCGCTCGGCGTGCCGGCCTGGCGCCGCCCTGCTCCAGCCGTCCCGCCCTCCTCCGCCAGCGTCGGGTATAGCCAGGGCCCCAGGTGAGGGGACCCGCGGTTGGCGGTAGGGCCCATGGAGGCCCCCATGGCTCTCTGGTGGTCGCGCTCTGCACCACGCGCGGAGCCCTGGGGCATGCTCAGTGGTCTCTGGCGTTCATCGGCGAACACTGCGGGCTACCCAGAGCGCCCGAAGACGGAGCACTTGGCGCTGCGCGCTTTGGCAGGTACGAGCGCTGAGCTTGCCTCGCAGCTTCGCGGTCCTCGCCGCCGCTCGCTTCTCCACGGCTGCCATCCGTGGCACGCGAACAGATACCCCACTTTGGGAAAGGCAGCCAGAATCACTAAACCAGGTCTGCCGTAGGTGGTATTTGTTCGGGTCAAGGCAGCTCCGGTCAGTGAAACGGGGCGGGGGGGCGTCCCCCAGTACGCATCACTAAACCAGGTCCCACTAAACCTAGTCCTGCCAACACCCGACAGTGCGTGCGAGAAGGACACGTTGTTCATTTCTAATGTTTCGACAGTTCTTTTATTTTTTTGGGGGGGGGCAAGATCCTCTCCTTCCTAGTTGTTCCATCCTGGGCCTCTTCCTGGCCACTGGGGGGCCAGGAACAAGTCGAAGCGAGCACAATTAGAAGTGAGCGCGATTCGTGATGAACGACGTGTACCCCTGCCGCCCCGCGAGCCAGCGGAGCCGTGGGGAGACGAGACCCCGCGGGGCGCAGCAGCGTACGCTTGTGTTTCCGACGCAGAAAAAAGAACGGGTCGACTGTGCCGAGACCCGCGCGCAAGCTGCCCGCGCCAGGTCGCGCGCGAGCGCCCTCGTCTCCAATGTAGCGTGCCGCGCTGGCTGCCCGCGTAAACCGCGGCGTAAGGTCGCTGTGCCATCTCGCGTAAGACCCGTTGTTCTTGCGTCGCCCGGCTGATTGTAGAGATTGCAGACCGAGGAGGAGGAGGAGGAGGAGGAGGAGGAGGAGGAGGAGGAGGAGGAGGAGGAGGAGGAGGAGAGCTACGTGCGAGGAGGAGGAGGACGACGACGAGGAGGAGGAGGACGATGAGGAGGAGAAGGAGGAGGAGGAGGAGGAAAAGGAGGAAAAGGACGAGGACGACGACGAGGAGGTGGAGGAGGAGGAGGAGGAGGACCAGTGCAAACCCAACAGTCACCAACGATGTTAGAGTAAACCTTTCCTCCAAGCTCCCTCTTCATTGAGCCCTACAACGGTTCATTTCCACGGATGGAACTGTCTCGTTAGCAGACAACCGCTTGAAGACCCTGAAGCATGCCAACATTTTGTTCTCGAGATTACATCGCCACAGATCCACCTCACTGTTGCGTCTTGACGATCCTGAATCTTACCTGAACGCCGTTCTTGGGACTTCACCAAGGCGAACCAACGTAACTGTTGCACCCTCATAATCCTGAATGCTTCCCAAACACCATCTCGGGTACGCTGGTCATGGGAATCCGTGGGCAATGTTTTAGTACGAATGTGCGCGATGCTTAGGCGGGAGCCACATTTTGAAGAATAATTGCCCTCAACCAGCGAAGCGCTTGCAATGTTTAAGACGAGTGTGCGCGGCGCTTGTTGGCGAGAGTCACATTTTGAAAACGGCCCGCTTTCAATCCTTGCAGCGCATGCAAAGTTTTACAAATAATGTGCGCGGCGGTAGGGCGAGAGCCGCATGTTGAAAACGGCCCGCTCTCCATCAGTGAAACTCTTGCACAGTTGTTTTAATCTCCAGGGTTTAAAATGATGAGAACGTCTCAGGCGTAACGTCCCGCCCGCCCTAAAAACTGGCCTCGGGGTGCGACAGGGAGAAACGATTTAGAAGGAGAAGGAGTGGAGGAGGACCAGACAAGGAGGGAAACGACGAGGACGACGACGAAGAGGGGGAGGATGAGGAGGAGGAGGAGGAGGAGGAGGAGGAGGAGGAGGAGGAGGAGGAGGAGGACCAGTGTAAACCTAAGAGTCATCACCGATGTTGGAATTAACCCTCCCCACAAGCTCCCTCTTCAGGAGTCCCATAGAACGGTTCATTTCTATTGAGGGAACTGCTTCGTTGGAAGACAACTGTTTGAAAACCCGGAAGTAAGCCAAAACATGTTTCTCGGGATTGCAACGCCATGTATCAACCCGACTGCTGCATTCTGGCGATTTAGAATCGTGCCATGACACCTTTTTGTGGATTTCAACACTGCGAAGCAACATAACTGTTGCACCCGCGTAAACTGGAATTCCCCCCAAACACCATTCTTGGTAAGTCGATCATGGAAACCCGTGAGACCCTTGCAAATGTTTCAACGAATGTGCGCTGCGCTAGAGCGAGAGCCACATTTTGAAAAGGAACCGCCCTCAATCCGTGAAGCTCTTGCAATTGTTTAAAACGAATGTGCGCGGCACTAATGCGAGAGCCACATTTTGAAACGGAATTGCTTTCCATCCGTGAAACCCTTTCAATTTTTTACAAAGAATGTGCGCGGTGCTGAGGCGAGAGCCACATTTTGAAAACCACCCACCCTCCATTTGTGAAGCTGTTTCCATTTTTTAAAGCTACAGGGTCATCAAAGGGTGAGGAAGGCTCAGGCGAAACGCCCGGCCCGCACTAGAAACTGGCCTCGGGGTGCGACAGGGAGGAGTTATTCATAAGGAGAAGGAACGGAGGAGGAGGAGGAGGAGGAGGAGGAGGAGGAGGAGGAGGAGGACGAGGAGGAGGAGGAGGAGGTGAAGGAGGAGGAGGAGGAGGAGGAGGAGGAGGAGGACGACGACGACGACAACGACGAGGAGGATCTCAGGAGGTCCCTGCTGCGCATCGCCCCTTGACGTCCCAGGACGACCACCGGATCCCCCCCCCCGCGGCCCAATCTCGGCCCAAGAGGGCGCCGCGCCTCGGAGGGGGAGAGGGCCCCGAGCCCTGGCCCCTTGCCGGCCGCCCCCGCCCGCCCGCCCCCTCTGGGGACGCGGGGCGCGCGGCGCGGGGACCAGCGACTGCGCTCGAGGAACCGAGCACGGCACACAGTCGACTCCTGGAGAACGGAGGTCCAGTGCGAGGTCGGAGGGGGGGCTCGGCGGTGCCTCAGGTCTGTGTGCGTGCACTCCGTTCTGTTTTTTTCGGTGGCGAGCCCCCCCTTCGGTGCTCGTTCGGATCTCACGGCTCGGCTTGGAAGAGAGGGGGCTCTGTTGCTTGCCGGTCGTTCCTTCTCTCAGAACATCGACTGCACGGCAGGTTCGTGTCGTGTCGACCGGTGGCGACTCCGGCGGCGGCGGCGGCTCAGAATCGGTCGATGTCGAACGACCTGACGTTTCGGAATCGGTCGATCGGTCAAGGTTGAAAGATCCCCGCGGTGTCAGAAGCGACCGCCGAAGTCGGCGCGACACGAACCTGCCGTAAGCATGATCTCTCGGAGGTCCGCCAGCATCTCTCGGATCGGCGCTGGGGCCCCCCTGGCGGCACCCCTGGCGCCGCCCCCCAGCGGTTCTGCGCGCCGTGGAGGTGGAGCTTCGATCCGAGAAATCCGCGCGGACCTCCAAGAGCTTCTGCCCTTGCCGTACCTTGGTTCGCATCTTCGCCGGCGGGAGGCGATGGCGCCCTCGAAGCCGGCCAGCATGGACATCGCCGTCGCCCTCTTCGAGAAGGGCTTCACCGAGGACCGCATCCAGGAGGCGCTCTGCCGCTGCGACAGCGTCGACGAGGCGGTGAGGTGGCTGTCGCCGGGGGGCAGCTCCTCCGGCGCCGCGGCGGCCCGCCCGGCGGCCGCCACGGCAGCGGACGCCAAGGCCGGCGACGCGGCCGCCAGCCTGGGCGCCGTGCCCACGGCGACGAGGCGCCGCCAGGTGGGCGACGCAGGAGAGCTCGAGCAGGGCATGGACTGCAGAACGGACCTGCCCCGAATTTGAAATCTTCGCCGAACCTGTGAGATGTGTTCGTCGAACGGGTGTGGATGATCCGCGAGCGTTCGACGCATTGTTCGCAGATCCGAGGAGCAAACCAAGTTCGGGGTAAACCAATTCTGTAGTCGATCTCCTACTCGAAAAACGTGGTCGTCTTCACCGACATGGGCGTGCAAGCTGCCCGCGTAAGCTCGCGCGTGAGCGCCCTCGTCTCCAATGCAGCGTGCCGCGCTGGCGGCCCGCGTAATTGCCGCGGCGTAAGGTCGCTGTGCCATCTCGCGTAAGCCCCGTTTTGATCGTCGCTCAGGTGCGGAAGGTGGCGTCCACCGACTTCTCCGAGAGCTCGCCGCTGTCCAAGGGCCAGCCTGTGATCATCAGCAGTGCCGGCGTCGCGCCCGCGGCCACCTGCTCGCCCACGCCCACCGCGTCCACGGCCGCGGGTGCCGAGGAGGAGGCGGCCTCTGGCGTCTCCGTGGCCTCGCCGGCGGTGGCGTCGAGCGCCAGCGGCGGTTGTGGCCGCGAGGCCAAATCGGAGCCGATTCCCATCGAGCCCCGGGATGCCAGGGAGTTCTGGATCAAGGCCTGGGTCGGACGCACAGAGAGGGGGTGGGACATGGGACAGGGTCGACCACACGTAAGAGTGACGCTTCTCCAAAGTGACCTTTGGTGCGGGCCCATTGGGGCCCCCTCGATCCCCGAAAACGATGCAATAGCAGCGGCCTGCGCGCTTGGGTTTGGCTCCCCCGCGACCCCAAAAGCCGCGAACCAGAGGTCACTCTTGCCCAGGGAGGAGGAGGAGGAGGAGGAGGAGGAGGAGGAGGAGGAGGAGGAAGAGGACGAGGAGGAGGAGGAGAGGAGGATGAGGATAGGAGGAAGAGGGAGGAGGAGAGGAGGAGGAGGAGGTGAGGAGGAGGAGGAGGAGGAGAGGAGGAGGAGGAAGGAGGAGGAGGAGGGTGAGGAGGGGAGGAGGAGGAGGAGGAGGAGGAATAGGAGGCGGAGGATGAGGAGGAGGAGGAGGAGAGGAAGAGGAGGCGGGGGAGGTGAGGGGCTGCACGCAGCTTGCTTCGGCTACGCATCTGGTGGGGGTGGGGCCGAGGCGCCTCCTGGCGCCGGGAAGAGCGTCGGAAAAGACGTTCGGATGCAACCCTCTTGGGATGTTCGATTCAGGGTCGGCACTGGCACATCCGTTGTCGAAGACTAGCCTTAAGTCGGGCCTGTCCCTCTACAGGGGGGATATTCAAAATCGTAAAACATAGTCTGGGGACGATCTTGTTTGCATTATTCTTGAATGCTTGTTTGTATTTGCTGGGGAATTCTTGACATTTCGTCCCAAATCCGCCTGTAGGGGGACGTGCCCGACATAATGGTACATCCGTGGTCGAAGACCAGCCTGCTGCGGCGGCAGGCTCCGGGAGAACGATCGGATGCATCTCTTGGGAGGTCGGATTCAGGGTCCGCGCTGGTGCATCCGTGGTCGAAGACTAGCCTGCTGCGCCTGCAGGCTCCGGGAAAACGTTCGGATGCATCTCTCGGGAGGTCGGATTCGAGGTCCGCGCTGGCACATCCGTGGTCGAAGACTAGCCTACTCCTGCACAAACCCGATGATTGTCCAATCCCGCTTAGTCTGGGTTCGAATCGGTCTAATCCCTCTTTGTCTGGCTCAGTCTAGCTTAATCCTGGCTCAGTCCAGCCTGGTCCAAATCAATGGCCCCCTCATCGGACTTCGCATCCATTCGCCGTTCTTACGAAGACCTCGCAGGAGTTGCCTCATTCGAGTAGGATATCGACTACAGAGCTGACGTACCCTAAAATAAATGTTCTCGTCGAGTCTATTGGATACATTCCGAGTTCCCCGCAGATTCACGAACCTTTTACGCTTCCGTCGTAGATTTGCTGAGGATCGTCAATTTCTGGAGTAAATCAATTCTGTAGTCGGTCCCCTACTCGCCTCCTGGTGGTTGGCCCCCCTCTGCTACCCCCCCCCCCCGCCGTCCGACCCGAGAGGCCAGGGCGAGGTGGCCCTCGCTCGCCAAGGGGATGCTGCAGGCCACGTGGCCCGAGGAGGATCAGGGGCAGCGACAGGGGGGGTGTAGCCAGGACCCTATAGACAAGGGGGCCCAGTTAGGAGTAGGGCCCCGGAGACTCTGAGTTGGCCAGGAGCACTCAACCGGGTCTGCCGTAGCTGCTGTTTTTCGGGTGACGGCAGTTCCGGTCAGTGGAACGGGGCCTGGGGGGAGCCCCCCAGTACAAATCACTGAACCAGGTCCCACGCAACCCAGTTCTGCCAACGCCCGAGACAGGGGGGGGGGGTGACTGGCTCAGTCGGAGAAGCATCGACCCCCATCGCCCATTCACCGCCGCTCGTCGAAGAAGAAGCATCAGCATGAACACAAATGTTTGACAGTCCGCGCGGATTTCTTGGATCTGCGCTGGGAGCCCCCTGGCGGCGCGTCCAGCGCCGCCCCTGGCGCGCGCTCCGCGCGCCAGGGAGCGGGGTCAGGCGCAGGCAGATCCAAGAAGTCCGCGCGGAGCGCCGAAAGTTTATGCTTATCCCGCTGTTTTGCTCCTCCAGGGGAGGGTCCCACCCCGCTCAGAAGTGTGCGGCTTCGCCATCGGGGGCCTGTCGCCCACCACCTAGCGGCGGAGGTACTGTCCTTTTCAGCTCGACGTGTCCCTTTCCAGCTGGTGAGTCTTGCTCCCGACCCGGATCCTGCCCCGAGGCCTCCGCGGAGGGTTCCGGAGGCCGCTGGAGACCCGACGAGGGCGGGGAACGTCCGAAAGCCTCCCCCCTCGACTCAGGAGGGGAAGAAACACACAGACACAATTGATCGTCGATCCCCAGGAAAATATCGGAAACTATGGAAAGTGGGGGGGAAGACAAGAACCCAGAAAATATCTGAATTTGCTTGGGGATCTTGCTATTTGTGTCTATTTATTTGTGTGTCCCAGGGCCCCCTTCAATGGAGGGGCGGGGGGCGTGGCGAGGCCCGAACAGGAATTTCGACTTCACGCAAGTCGGGGCACGCTTGCACGCAGTTTCGGCCCGGCGCTGTTTGCAAAGGCGTCGGAAGGGGGCTGAACGCCATGCGAGCCAAGACATCCGGCGATTTTGTTTTTTCGAAACACGGGGCCCTGGGACCGGTTTTTCATCCCGAGTCGTTTCATGATGGTCCCGACGCCTGGTAAGAGCTCCGAAAGGCCGACAACGATGAAAAACAGTTGTCTCAATTTTTTCGTAGCGACAGATGCCTGGGAACTTGCCTGCGTCTGATGTAGAACGCCCAACTGGGATGACTGTAGGGATTGCTACGGGGATGGAAGTTTACGAATTACGAGTGTATGCCAAGGTGTGTCGTATCTTACTGTATTTCTTTTTTCTTCTGGTTATTGTGTCGTATCTCGTGTGAATTACATTGAACGTGGGTTGCAAGTGCCTTGAGTGGCTTGGGGGGGTTCGATCATTCCGTGATTTGAGTGGCCGCAGCCCGCTCAGTCCAGATTTGAAGCGTCTTAGGGCAGTTTCTCATTCATGTATAAGCAAGTCCAGGCCACGTATAAGATTCGGATCCCCCTGGTCGGTCATCTAAGCACGGGTCCCCCAGAAGTCTCAATCCTTTCCCTAGAGCCGGTTTTTTTCATTCCCAGCCGTCAGCCGTCTTTGGACCATTCCGGGGCCGGGGAATCGAGCCTACTTTTGCTTGCTTGTTTATCTGCATCCCCCCTTGCAGCCGATCCCCCCTTTAGCATCCCCCATCGGGTATCCCAGCATGATTCAGATGGGGCCAGGGCCAGGACAAATCCGCTCCAACGCGTTCCGGAAAGCTCTCAGTGCGTGCTGGAATGCTTCGAAACGGATTCAGGGAGGAGGGAGGAGGGAGAAGGGAGGAGGGAGGGAGGAGGAGGAGGGAGGAGAGAGGAGGGAGACGGGAGGCGGGAGGCGGGAGGA